GCTTAGGAGTACTCGTGTTGCTAGAAAGCAGTGATTGGCAGGGGCACCCAGTCGGACCGTCACAGATGCTATTGCACATGAGCTGCAAAACACAGCACCAATTATCTCCTCAAAGAGATGCATTTAATCAGTGCTTCTCTATGGGAAAAGTTCAGCGCCTCCATGCAGAGTGTGGAGACGCTGAATGTAGGTGCTTACACAGTGCAGCACTGAGATAGGAAGCGCTTTAGTGGCCGTCTGAATGACTTCCACTAGAGGTGTCACTAGGCAGCCATGTAAACTCTGCCTTTTCTCTGAAAAGGCAGTGTTATATTGAAAAACGTGCAGGGACAGGCTATAGACACCTGAACCACTACATTAAAGGGACACCTTGGTCACCAGAACAACAACAGCTGTTCTGGTGAGTATAATCATTCCCTTCAGGCTTTTTGCAGTAAACACTGTCTTTTCAGAGAAAACGCAAAGTTTACATTACAGCAGGGCCGGACTGGGAATGAAAACTTGTTCATAAAAGGTAAAACCATGCATTTAAAGCACATTTGAATAGTGAATTATTGTAGATAAGACAGATATGAAAGCTTATATGATTTTATATAAAGAGCAGTGGAAAGTTGTAAACGTGGAGCAATCCTCATGAGTAGTACATTTATTGCTATGGTGATTAGACTTCATTTCGAACTTTCTCTTAATGGGGATTTCTGTCTAGGATCAGGGAGGGCTGCAGATGTCCAGCTCAGGGATACTAGGTAATAATCCTGTCACCATCTAGCACACTTTACCTCTCTCCCATTATCATAGTCTGTGCCTCTTCCCATGTTAAATACCATGGTCCTTGTGCCTCCCATGCCCAGCATTATGGTTCCCTGAACTCCCACCTAACATCAGAGTCCCTGCCTCCCCTTCTCATTATCAGGGTCCTTGTCCCAAACACCATTTTAAGAACCCCTGTGTCCCCCATGCCTAATTTCACAGTTCTAGTAACCCCATCTCAGAATCAGGGCTCCATTTGCCTCCAATTCTCATTATCAACATCCTTGTACCTGTGACCCCCATGACCAATATAGGGGTGCCTGTGCCCCCCAATGCCCAGAATCAGGGTCTCTACCCCCCTATGCCCAATATCATGATCCTTGTGCCCATCCATGACCAGTATCAGGGTTGCTGTGCCCCCTATGCCCAGTATCGTGGTACTGTGCCCCCGTGCTCAATATCAAGGTCCCTGTGCCCCCCCCCAACCCAGTTTCGTGTTCTCCATGGCCCCATGCCCTATATCAGGCTCTCAGACAGAAAGTTCTTCCCGGACTTATGCATAGGATAGACATACCCAGGCCACCTGGGCAGTGCTATCACTTGCATTTATGCTGCTGCCACCATAGCAACTCTTGTAGCTTAAATGCTATGATCCTACTACATGCTATTAATACTAATGCTGTGGGGTATTTCATTACTTTTCCTTTGTTATTTATTGACAGTGTGCAGTAGCTAGATGACAAATTGTGACCCAGTGGTATTCTTATATGAAGCTTGTAATGTTAGCATGACTATACTTCTTGTCATAATTATATCACATGTCTATTTCACATTCCGACTGCGTCACATCCTCTGACAAATTATTCTTCTAGACATGTTTGACTTTCTTGATGACTTATTGTATTACTTTAAAAGAAAAATATGTGCTGTTGTTTTCTAAATGTCAACATTATGCCTACCATTGCTGTTGTGGCAATGTAGGCGCTTATGTACTTTCAGCACAACCAAAACAAAGATTATTATTATTTTTTTTTTTTTAATTTCACCTCTATGAGGAGATGCTGATTGACCAGGGCTGTGTTTGACTTGTGCTGGCTCTACCCCAGTCTTAGCCAATCCTATGGGAAAGCATTGTGATTAGCTCAGAACAACACTTCTGATTATGTCAGCCAAGCAGGCAGATCAGGGGAAAGGCAGCAGTTGCAGACTTAAACAAAAGTAAGATTTTACTATATCTAGGGGGACCAGGGAGTCTAAATGGTGGGTTTAAAACTATAGGGTCGAGGGGCGTGGCCTGGGCTCCGATGAACATGGCCGCCTAAGCGCTGAGCTCCGCTCCACAAACGCACAAAGAACGGAGCACCCCACTACTCACCGGCGCGCACTGCCACCAATGGGTCGCACAAAGAGAGGGGACCTCCCCCAGACCCCCAAACCTTCGGTCTCGGGGTCGCAAACGGGGCCGATGGATGAGTTCCTCCACGCGCCATGCGGCCCGGACCCCAGCTCCCCGACATCCAAAATGGCGCCGACCTCGCCAGCATCCACATGCTCCACTGCCGACACGACTACACTGGCAGACATCGGAGCAGAACTGAAACGCGTGGCAATGAAGATGGTCACAAAAGATGACCTCACCCACCTGACCAACAACATATATGAAGCAATTAAATCTGAAGTGAACGGCCTGAAGGCCGAAATTAAAGCACAGGAACACCGCATACAGCAGGTGGAAAAAAGGGCACAGACCACTGAAGACCACTCTACAGCCACAGACACGGCCCTCAAACGCCAGGGCACCCTCATACTGGCCATGAGGCGACAGCTAGAAGACCAGGACAACCGCAGTCGTCGCAACAATATCAGGGTAAGGGGGATACCTGAATCTCCAGAGGGGGAAAATATAGAAGAGATGCTCACCTCCCTATTCCGCATCATCCTAAGGGAGGACACACCAGCGATTATTAAATATGACAGGGCACATAGAGCACTCCGCCCCAGGCCCACGGAGGGAACCCCCAGGGATATAATATGCTGCCTGCACTCCTTCGCCACCAAAGACATGATCATGAGGAAAGCTAGATCCAGGGCCCACTGGAACTACAGGGGCGCAGAAATATCCCTCTACAATGACCTATCACCAATGACCCTGGAGGCTAGAAGAGCCCTGAGACCGGTTACCACCATCCTGAGGGAGAGGAATATGCAATATAGATGGGGTTACCCATTTAGCATCACAGTTAGATATAATAATGAATGGGTCTCCGCACGCTGGCCAGAAGACATTCCTCAATTCCTACAACGCCTAAACCTACCGCCAACCCCGGTTCCGAACTGGGTATTCATGCCGCTGGATCCAAGACCACAACCGCAGCGACAAGCAAGGCGAAGAAGATGGAACTCTCAAGGTGAAGCTCCGCGACACCGACCAGACCTAAACAGCCCAGAGGAATAACCCAATACCAGACCAACTGACACCGCTCCGGCAGACCCCACAACCCTGAGACAACACAGACAGATGACACCCACGTTGGAGAAGCACCTGGAGGCAAACCCGCACCCCAAGAATCAGGTACTCTGACATAGGGTAGTTAACATATTGGCACGAGTCTAACAGAGGGGACACTCTACCTACCCCCCTGGCATGGGAGGGCACCACGCCTCACCACGAGACTGACCGGACTAGGGGATATCTCACATGCAAATGGGTCTTCCACAACACGGGAGGGTTCTAAACAAAAAAAAATAAAAAAAAAATATATAAAAAAAAAATAAAAAATAAAAAAAAAAAGGGGGGGATGAAAAGGGAGGGGCGGGAAGAAAACGACAGCGGGGGAATGAATCCTATTGGGGAGGGGGATCACAGGGGGGAGGGTCGGGGACATAGAGATCGGGCCTTAGAGACCTCCGGCAGCATTGACTTTCGTGAAGACGAAGAACTGATTCCACACTAAATATATAGCTGATTGTGAGACCAGAGACTGTTCTTTATTGTACGATTATTGTGAGTAACCTATCTTGAATGGCTAGACTATGCAACATCACTCTGTGTCATTGACCGGGCCCCCCCCCACGTCAAAGGGACCGACATACATAGATAACACGCTTCCAAAGAGGTCCATACACTCACAATTCCCCCACACAGACGACACACTGATGTCGAGAAGATACTAAGCAAACGACCATCCCACCACCCCCTAGAGGAACAAAAGGTACGGGGGACGGGGCAAGAGGACATAGAGGAGGGAGGGGGGAAAGAAGGGGGAGAAAAAAAAAATATATATATATACCCACATGACCCAGATGAAACAACCCAGACACAATGAGTAGAAGACCCACAATGCACACACCCTGAAGAGATATCCTCAAGCCCCCACTTTGACTACACGCAAATTACCCTTACGGTACTTCCCCCCACCCGATACCAGCGACACCGAAAAGGCGCAACAAACAGGCATAGTGCTGATAACACAATGGACACACATCAATGGCATTAGTGATGACTATACAACACCTCTACTACAGTGGACGGACGCTACAACCCCAAAACGGATATACACTCCTACACAAATAACAGATTCTTCCGACGATACACAACCCTTCTCAAGTATCAACTCCACAACCAACACTGCACATACCACACAGGCACCACAGCCTAAACAGATAAGGGCCCAGACACGCTACCCACCCCTTTCGGTGCGCACGCTTAATACTATGGAGGCCGACTGGTACACCACCGGGATAAAACCCGGGGTGCCCCCCCGACCGACACCGTAGGCACACGAACTCCCTCTCCGCGGAGAGGATCACCTCCTCACACTATCACGACACGCGCACCACATCTATACTACTCTCCAACATCCAATTAAGAAACACACACCCCCATCACACGAACCAGACACAGTGCCTGACATCACCGAAAGGCACTGAGCCTGAGCAGACGACTCCCCTAGACCACACAAGAGCAAATACCAACACACCACGTACACCAGACACCCTACACGTGACCGCAGTCCAGCAACGCCCCCCCCCCGGCGCTCCTGACCCGGCCGTCGCGTCCGCCTCGAGCTAACCGCCAGACGACGCAGGGGCACCGAACCACACCAAAACCCAGGAACCAAGCCACGGGCTCGGGCTTCCTCGGTCGACTCCCACGTACACAAGAGAGACTCGGACGAGGGACCCCGACATCCGACAAGACACCACCGCTGCGCGGAGATACGGGCAGGATGGCATAGAGACCAGACCCGATGAAAATCATCACACAAAATTGCAGGGGACTGAATCTCCCAGAACGCAGAACTAATCTCTTGAGGGACCTTCAGAGAGAGAGGGTTGCAGTCGCTCTTCTCCAGGAAACTCACTTTCGGGAGGGAGCGGCCCCGGCACTCAAAAACAAACAATACCCCACTAATTACTTCAGCAACCACCCCACAGCGAAAAAGGCAGGGGTCGCGATCCTTATAGCAGCTCGTCTACAATTCCAGGAACAGGATCACCTTATAGACCACAACGGCAGATACGCCTTCGTAAAGGGGAATATCGCAGGGCGATGCTACACGTTCGCGACAATCTACGTCCCCAATAATAATCAATCTAGATTCCTTAAGAACACACTAAAGGCACTAACAGACTTCACGGAAGGAACCGTGGTCACGGGAGGAGACTTCAATGTCACACTAGATCCTAAAGTAGACTCCTCAACGGGACACAGCAGCATTCCACAGAGAGAAATAAGAACCATAAACCATACTCTGAAAACACTGCGCCTGGTAGACTGTTGGCGAACGCTAAACCCATTAGACAGAGAATACACCCACTATTCCATAATACACAAAAGATACTCCAGGATAGACTTCCTATTATTGCAACAAGAAGCACTAATAAGACTTAGGAGAGCATCCATACACACTGCAATGTGGTCGGATCACGGACAAGTGTCGATAGACCTCGAATCTCCACTCATAAGACCGACGAAAACGACGTGGAGACTCAACGACTCCCTCTTAACCGACCTCCCACTAAGGGCCCAAGTCACCGACACTCTACAGACATATTTTACCGAGAATGAGACGGGAGACGTATCAGATATGACAATATGGGAGGCACACAAAAGTGTACTCCGGGGCAAGCTCATCCAAATCGCGTCACAACGGAAAAAAGAGGCGGGCACACTTATGTCAACCATCCTGGACCGGATCCACTCCCTGGAAACACAACACAAACGCCAACAGGTGGAAGATACCTACAGGGAACTATTAGAGGAAAGAAGGAGACTACACGCACTACTACTCAAGAGACACCTGAGACAACTCCGCAGATCTAAAGGTTTCTTCTACCTCCACGCAAACAAAGGAGGCAAACTCCTCGCACACATGCTCAGGGGACAACAACACCCCTCACAAGTCCACAAATTAAAAACAAGCAACGGCACTACTACCCAAAACCCGGAGAAAATCGCCAAGGAATTCTTCACTTACTACTCCTCACTTTACAGTACACACTCACAAAGCGACGAAGAAGGCAAGCGAATCAAACAAGGTCACATGGAATGTGACAAATACTTCTCACAGATAAAAGTATACGACGGAATACAAATCTCAAACCCAACGCCTTGCAATTCATTGAATTCGCAGACACACACACCCACATAGACACAACACACACAAAAGTTTCTTCACATACAAGATACACCATGTTAAGACACGTGCTGCCTCAATTAACTGACTGAACACACAAAACTCAACATACACCTGACCGAACGACGCTCCCTAAAATGACAGTAAACGCTTCATACAGATAAGACCTGAGTACCCAAAATGAGAATAGCTTAGAGACACATGCCAAATATATGCCATAGGACCTGCGAGACTAACTAATTTATACTTCTTACGACTGAATGAGACCTGCGAGTCTCCAATGTATATATACATGGGCAACAACTGTTCCATAGCAATTGGTTGCATGCAGACATAATGGGACCGCCGTGTCCATACTGAAGCGTTCTCATGACACGTTCGATACTGAAAAACTTGAAACATCCAATAAAAATATATCTACGAAAGATACACCATGTTAAGACACATGCTGCCTCAATTAACTGACTGAGCATAAAAAACTCAACGTAAACCTGACCAAACGACACATCCTAAAATGACAGTAAACGTTTCATACAGAGGGGACCTGAGTACCCAAACTGAAAATAGCTTAGGGGCACACGCCATGTATATGGACCTGCGAGTCCAACTAATTTATGCCTCTTACGATTAAATGAGACCTGCGTGTCTCCAATGTATATCTACATGAGTAACAGCTGTACCAATGCAATTTGCCTGCATGCAAACATCATGGGACCTGCGTGTCCATACCGAAGCTTTTTCATGACATGTTCGATACTGACAAACTTAAAACATCCAATAAAAATATATTTACAAAAAAAAACTATAGGGTCACCTTTAAGCTTTAGTGGTCCTGTTGACTAAAGTGTCACTTTAAGAATTTTATTTTTGGAGTGGAAGATAAAGCCACCTAATTTATGAAAAAAAAACTGGTTTCTAACATTGAACAAAGGAAATTTGTCAAGCACTGGCTTAGTCTATTCTAACAGGATTTCAGTCACATTTAATACATGCCAAAAGGCAGGCCTGTCTATTTTCCTGTCTTCAAAGTGGTTTTTGTTTCCCTAATACATGTATCTATAATTTTATAATGTTAAACAGGGCATCTCCATACAGTGGCGTACACACGATCCATGTTGCCCCGTAAAATTGATCCAGGCCCCTGCGTGGGCGGGGCCGCAACACGTGGCGGCGGGCACCTGGTCGCAGGGGTCACAGGGCTGCGACCCCTGCGACCGCGGTATGTACGCCAGTGCATGCAGATACACATACACTTAAAGGACCACTATAGGCACTCAGATCACTTAAGCTCAATTAAGTGGACTGGGTGCCAGGTCCCTCTAGTTTTAATCCTGCAGCTGAAAACATAGCAGTTTCAGAGAAATCCAGCCTCTAGTAGCTGTTTCACTGACAGCTGCTAGAGGCGCTTCCGCGATTCTCTCTGTGAAAATCGCATAGTAATGCTTTCCTATGGGCGGTTTGAATGCGCGCGTGGCTCTTGCCGCGCATGCGCATTTAGAGCTGAGAGGCGTATCGGGGCGGAAAGATCCCAAGCACCAAGGGAGCACAGCGCTGGAGAAAGGTAAGTGCTATAGGGGTTTTAACCACACACACACACACACTCTCACGAACAGACACACAAATATATACACATTAGCTAACAGACACACACTCAGTGACAGACATACATACACACACACACACTCACTGACAGACACACATACACTCTCACTGACAAACACACACTCACTAACAGATACACACAAACTAACACTCAGTAACACACTCACTGACACACACACACACACTGACACTCACTAGCAGACACACACTCAATAACAGACACACACACACACTGACACACAAAAACTAACACACATACACACTCACATTTTTTTAAATTTAATCCCCCAGGAATCCCTGGGGATTGAGTGCTGAGTGGATTTCCCTGGGGTCCAATGGGGCTGCTGGGCGGCCTGTCCTGCAGGCGGCGATGGAGCACTGATCCAACTGTTCAGCTCCCTCGCATGCCTCTTACTGATGCCAGAGCCGGAGTGACGTCATATTCCGGCTCCGGCATCACTGTGGTGTGCGCGAGGGAGCTGGGCAGAGAGCGCTCAGGGAAGAATGCTCCCTCGCGTGCGCGCGCGACCGGTGACACCACTGCCAGCCTCGGGGGGCCCTGAGGTGGCCAGCTCCTGGGCCCCCCAGGAGAAAAGGCTGGCAAACTGGCGTACATACCTGGTCACAGGGCGGCCGGGCCCCCTGGTGGGCCGGGCCCAGTTGCAGGGGTCATAGTACACGCCAGTGTCTCCATAGGTCAGGGGTTGAGTACTAGGGGTTACGCTGTAGAGCCCAAAAGTAGAGGAGCAAATTCTAATGCTGCACTACCTTTAATATTCATCAGGTGTTACTGATTCTTTTCATAAAGTAGTTGCACAAAATAACATTATACTGTGTGAAATGTGAATCATGAGCTGGATCCTGTAATTTTAATTATAAAAAACAACAGATTAGTCAGCATAACTGTGTGATTCAGAGATGGTTTTAGGAAACACCCTTTATATTCACACTTCATTGCCAAAACACAATTAGCTTTACATTTACAGATGATCAATCTGTACACAGAATGCCAGAGGAAGGTGATGAGTAAACATCTCAAATATTTGCAAAACAAGTTTAGAAAGGATTGTCCGTATGATGGCTCTAACAAACATCTTGAATGTATCAGAAAGTAATTTTCATCATGAGAAAGAGATAGCAACGTCTATCAATAGGTGTCATATCATAAGAAGTCTCTTAATGGAACACTCCAAGCACCATAACTACTACAGCTCACTCCAAGCACCATAACCACTACATCTCTCCCTGGTGCCCCACTACTGTAAGAAGATGAACCATTTTAGGACAGTTTAATGACTTACCTGGAGTTTGCTCAGTGTTGCTCCTTACCTCCTCTCTGCAGTCAGGAGACATGGAAGCTCCCGCTTAGGAGTTTCTGACAGTTCCCCGAGTTAAGTACCAACTCATTGGCTGAGAGTGCCCACTGACTGATCTCCACCAATGAGCTAAGTGGGCTTAACTGAGACAGAGAGCTTCTGGCTTTATATAGTGGAGGCAGGAAAGGGTGTCAAGCGGTCCCCGGTAAGAAGTCAAACCATTTTAAATTGGTTTGAATACTTTTATTGGGGGAGTTCCAGGGCACTCCTGTCACCATAACCACTACAGTGTACTTGGATTGTTTCTTTAAAGTGGCTTGGGGCACATCAATATGCCATGGCACATTGGTCAAAATCCACTTTTCTAGGGTACCAGGAACCCTCCAACTGGCCTTTAATATAACATTCACTTTGTATTTACAATCAATAATTCTCGCTATAGCAAATAACCCTGATTGTCTTCAGACATGTAATAAGTTGAATGCAATTCTTAAGTTTGTTTTTAGAATAAATAAATATATTTCAGCATTTAAATTGCAGTTCCACCTGCTAATTAATGAAAAGTAGTAAGTGAGTTTACCTTAAAGTTTACACTTCAAACGTTTCATACCTAACTAGGAAGATTAGCACATGTGACACTGATTCCACCTCCATCCACAAACACACTCTTTTATCTAGTGGTACATGTCTTCTTTGATACCTACTCCGCAATACAAATACACATAATCCTAGGTTTTAATACATATATCACAAGCATCGTTTTGTAGGATTATTATTATTTTTTTTTAAAGTGCATTCTTTACCTTCCCTATCTAGCTACCCATGATGTACGTGTCTGCTTCCTGTGTTCTAAAAACCACAGCTTTATCTCTTCCACAACCAGTATCCCTTTCTATTTAATTAGAAGTAGATGCTAGTCTCGCAGCTGCCTTTAATAAGAGCTGTATATGGACGTGATGGTTAGGCTCAGCATGTGTCTGCCTTCTTTTAAAGTCTTTATAATAGAAAGATAAGAAAAGGCTCTTACAAGTTGCTAAGTAAATCTTTTCCTCCCAAAACTGGCATCGGGAGTATAAATGCCAGTCAGAGTAATGAACACATGTGGAATTTCCACACACATTTTCACCCAACGGTCTCTACACGCATGAATCACATCAAACGACATGGTCATTCTGTGTGAATTTTCTTTAATACAAATCTGTAGCTTCTGCGAGGACAAGGGATTGGCAGGGACTTCTCATGCTAAACTGATCCTTCCATCGTTCTCAACAGGAGCACAAAAGTTTGATTTTATTAAGGCACAGAGGCTCCTATTATGCTGCACTCTTTCTTTATTTCCCTCAGCAGCAAAAAATATAACATTAAAAAAATCATCAAACCACATGTATATAACATCAGAGATCAATCTTCCTAGTAACCAGAACAGCCAATCAGCATCCAGTCCTTGGCATAATAGGCGGTAACCATTAGAACACTTCCTCTTTCTTTGCTGCTCCCTCAGTTAAGTACACTGCTCCCATGATTTTCTTAACTGTGGGATATTAATCTAATGTTTACTTCATGTTCATGTTCATTGTAGTTTACTTCATGTTCATGTTCATTGTAGTTTACTTATCCTTTTAATTTTCCATTTTAATTTATTTACTGTTATTTCACTGTTATTTATTAATTTCGTTCACATTTATATTTATCCAAGTATTGATAATTCAATAATTGCTCTCCTTGCGTTTACCTTTGCCCCCTGGCCCCTTTAGGTCATGGGTTGTGTGTGAGGGTCGTTTGCATTCGTTTCCTGAAATTTTGCCGATAGCCTTGCCTCTTCCTGTCTAAACCTTGTTGGGGTTTAGCAGTTTTGGTGAACGGACGGCTCTTGTCCTCTTTCTGCGTTTTTTCACTTAACTGTGAGTTTATTTCAGATTTTTTACCTTGTGGGTTAAGCAATAGTGATGTCCCGAACGGTTCGCGAACGGTTCGCCACGGACTCATCATTGAGTAAACTTTGACCCTGTACCTCACAGTCAGCAGATACATTCCAGCCAATCAGCAGCAGACCCTCCCACCTCCTGGACAGCATCCATTTTACATTAATTGTGAAGC